GGGGGTGTGTGGGGGGGGGGGGGTATTGGGAAGAATCTTGGTTTGAGGCTCAGGTGACGACACTTGTCACCACCTTTTCATCCACAACAGCAACATCATCATCTCCATGTCTCCTGTGTTATGTTTCGTGTCTTGATTTTTCTCCCGTGAATGTGAGGAAGGAGGTCTCTCTCTCTCTCTCTTTTTAATGTCTCTGTGGATTTTTCTGCTCTCCGAGTATAAAGTCTTTTTGGTTCTTGTGTTCTGTCTGCCTGTGCTTTTTTGCCTGTATGCTAATTTTCATAAATCCTCAATTTTTATCATCTTTTATTTTCGCAAATGGCAATTTTCGTAAAAACATTAAGAATCTCGGTCATTTACATCATCTTTTGAACTAATTTTTTTGATAGATAAAATGTGTGACAGTCCATAAATAAACAGGAACTATATCGCTTTTAACACCGTCATAACGAAGAAAAAAGAATACGATCCAGAACGAATTTTTTAGCTTACGTCAATTTGAAGGGACCAGATTTTTTAAAAAAAAAAAGAGAGAGAAGAAGAATAAGCATATGACAGTTTATTCAAGGCATTGGAACATTTAAATTTTATCTCGTATCTTATGCTCAGTAATGTACTTTTTGTGTAATCAATAATTGCGTCATAAAATGAGTTGATTTGTCCAAATATTATAAAAATAAAAATAAAAAACAGAGCAACCCTCTACCTGAGCGAGAGACTCCTATTTATAGAATTCAATCGGACCTAACGAATGACTAAAAGACAATTATGCCCTCTGAGATCCGCTTGCCCAACGGACTCACGGGAGCTCATGTTTCTATGAAATAAATTACATTGTCCGTGCAATATAAAAAGGGACCACGATTTTACGGCCTCTATTAATTGCTCCCTAACAAACCCACGTGGTTAAATTAAGCACGCTCTGCCACCTTCGAATGTCTCCGATGGTAACAATTCATGTTATGGACTTACACAATTATACACCTGCTCTAGCTAAACCCGCCCCATGGTGGACGAGGGTGTAGGCGTTCCTGGTGACCGAATCAGATCGTTAGGTGTAGATAGTGGTCGGTTCGAATCCATACGAGGTTAGATGAGATGCAATTAGTTGCTGCAAGACGATTGGATATAGTTGGGCCGAAGTTTGACACCATGGTTGCCAAAAAAAAATCTAGTTAAACAGTGTGATTACAACAGATGCCAATCAACCAACAGATGACTAGTTAAATGCTGCAGGTCTATTTATTTTCAATATCTTTTTATGGCAACATTCGCAACCAACCATCGGGTACCGATTGTATCTTAAATGTGACAAGATAAATGTAAGACAATATAATAATGGAATGTATATATTTTAGAGACGTATACACTTTATATATACATATATATATATATATATGCATGCTTACAGGATATAGTGAAGTCATAATCCATAAATAACAGTACCATGGTTTTCGTATCTCCACATTGTTATTGCCAAACTGGTGCGTTTTTCCACAACCCTTTTACTTTTCAATGCATCGTCGTCCTCTTCCTCTCTTCCATGGCGGTTTCAACTCCTCCCGAGGATCCCATCAAATGCGTCTCGGGAAACACAAACTGTACGGTCACCAACTCGTACGGAGCCTTTCCCGACCGTTCCACCTGTCGAGCCGCTGGCGTGGCATACCCCACCACCGAGTCGGAGC